TCAGTAAATTTCCACTCAACATCTAGGCTCAGTTAGTTAAAGCTAACACTCAACCATCCAAACATTAAACACAGAATTAATAGTTTATTGAAAAGGAAATCACTCATGGGATACATTATTCCAGCAAAATTTAATAGGGAAAATATAATTGTATTTTTTTGGGGGGAATTTGGGGTGATTTGTGTCTTTTTCTGGTTCAAACAGAAAGGAGCTATTTTTGATGCAATGCTGATAAGAGTTACATAGTATTTTGAGAAAGTACAGAAACACAAAGCTTGTCCAATCATCATTTTCTACTTAACAATTTGTAACCACAATGCAGCTCTTGTAAGTATTAAATATATATTACTGCTGTGACGTTAAAACTTGAGACGTCTGAGGTTTGAATCTATTTGATACAATTACCCAACACCAGATGGTACTTTTTAAAGCAATGAAGTCTCACTTATTTACAGAATGATAAGTGTTCGCGTCAGTAGCCGTGTATCCATTAACATTTTTATGCGCATTTTGAAGTGTCGTATGAGAAAAGGTTGATGGAAACAACAAAATCTGAAAAAATTCCTTAATTTTGTCTGGTTTTTGGATTTTCTGAAAAAGATTTAACACACATTTGCTGAATAAGTTCTGGCGTGGCGAACATTTACCTATGATTGATCAGTTGTTTCCACTGTTGGCGTCCTCCCGGATATTCCCATAAGAATTCTACATCTTCGGACAGCATTTATGAAACCGTTCAACTTGCTAAAAGTAAAACTAGCTTAAGTATCAATCCAGTAACCTTGGTGTCAATACAGTCTGAGACTGACGTTACTATCTTATATTTCCATGGATTCTTAGTCTTGGTTTGAGTTGTATACTACCACCTCACTGATATAAAAGTCAGATGAAAGCAACATGAGCAGACTGAGGACTGAAATTTTTGTCTAAATACATGCAAAATGTGTACATTATTCCCAAGTGTATTCAAATTTAAGTTAAATTTTGATATTACTTATAAGTGAATAAATGTAGCGTTTAGAAAAATAACAAAAGGTTTCTTTAAAAGCACAATTTTTTGTTTTCCAAGAATGGTAAATGAACTTAATGGGATCACAAAGTTTCATCCTTTTCAAAATATGGGTCACGTTAAAAAAAGTTTGGGAAACACTGGTTTAGACTGCAGTGTGATACAAATTATGATAATAATAAAACAAAAATATTTAAATCTCAACAAACTTTATTCTTAAAACTGAGGAAGATGAATCTAAGCTCCTGGATTGTACGGCATGAAATTAGTGATAAAAATCCAATCTAATTAGCAATATTTTAAGAGAAATAAGACAAACTGCCATATTTTTTGCATGTGTCTGGTGTCAAAGGACAAAATTTGCATATTGGGAAAATTATGCAAACAAGAGGAGACTTATTTGCCTGCATCATGGGATGGAGTCCCAATTGCTAAAAGTGTGACATGCCACAGATAAAATCTTCAGTGAAATTAGAGTTTTTTCCCTCTAAACATGCATGAGAGTGGAGTTGACATAGTAACCCAGAAGGCTATTCAGTAGCTGCTGCAGGATACAGCGGCCTGTACAGACTTGTTCCTGTTTATAACAACATAGGCACCACCAGATGGAACCATGGGAGCCAGCAAACATACACATTATGACCTCCCATACACAAACACAGCAGACATGAGGGATGGAGAATAAAAATGGGAGTGTGTGGAGGGACAAATACAAACAACGCAGAGCTAACAAAGCTCATATGGCATAACACTGTAGTTTCACTATCAAACACAGGCTTGAACCTAGCCATAACACAGAAGCAAGAGTAAGCAAATACCACGTCATCCTTCCAAGAAAAAAAAAAAAAGACATTCCTCTTGTGCAGGACAGGAGAGAAAAACTACAAGTCTACACAGTCTCAAAAGTGTATACAAGATTCAGTCTCCTGAAGCTGCACTTGGCTTGTCACATTTATTTGAGACCATTTTTCACCCAGAACATCATAATCTAACTCTTCCAAAGGTTTTGGTTTTCTAGTCTTGAGACATTTTGAAAACAAAAGTGTTGTTGGTGTGAGAAACAAACCACAAATTCTACTTGTTTAGTCATGAAAAATCTAAACACAATGAATAGGAAGTGGGCTGAAAATGAAACAGAAAAAAAAAAACTTGAACAAAATGTCAGAACAAACTGCTTATCAAGACTTTACAATCAAGGACAGTGTTCACAGAAAGACCAGTTTTTAACCATTCATAAGAGTGTCTAACAGTGATTCACTAGCTCAGCAGTACATGTAGCCTCACAGAAAGCAGTGATACATGTTGATAATCCAACTGCCAGACCCTGAGCGAAAGGGGAAGGCATTTGTTCACAAATTTCTACCATGCTGTTAGGCCTTGGCATAGTTGTGATGTGCCTCGCCTCCTTAGCTCAGAGCCAAACGACAGATGGTTGCTCAGTTTTAGTATCAAAAAGAATACAAGCAACAATATCACAAACACTTTGCCCAGAACACTGCTATATATTTTTTTCAGTGAATTAGATTACTCTTGTCTGACATGGCAAAACAATTAAAAAATGTTGATAAGATGAAATTGTGGTGTGAAACAGTGAGGAACCACAATGAAACACCTAATTATACAGAGCAAAGTATTGAGGAAGCTGAAAAAACTATGTAAGTACAGGGGTTAGACAATGAAACTGAAACACCTGGTTTTAGACCATAACATCCTTTTCAGACAGCTTTCTCTTGCATTTACAGTTAATCCTGTTGGATGTGGTTCATCCTCCTTGGTGGTATGCTGACATTACCATGGATACTGTGGCTCCTGATACATAACAAAGACTTGCTGTCTTGGTCACAGATGAGCCAGCAAGATGTGCACCAACAATTTGTCCTCTTTTGTAACTCTGGTATGTAACCATAATGTGTGCATTGCAATATTTTGAGCAAAACTGTGCTCTTACTCTGCTAATTGAACCTTCACACTCTGCTCTTACTGGTGCAATGTGCAATTAATGACGCTTGGCCACGAGGCTGGTCCAATTTAGCCATGAAACCCCCAACACTAAAATGACACGTGTTTCATTTTCATTGTCTAACCCCTGTATATTGTATATATACAGTTGTTAGCAATGACGGATGTTGTGAGTGAAACATAAAACTCCCTAGATGAGTAGGAAGATTAGTCAGTTGAACTACTGCATTGGGTTAATACTACTGTATTCATACCAAACTGTCTTGGTATAGAGGTTTGATATAGGTACACAAAAGTGCACAACAAACTCCTTAGTCACAGGTGACCATCCAGATCATCTTAAAAGCTGCCTGTTTGGATAAATGTATTCAGATGGTATCCAACAGAGGCAAGGTGATCACAACTGAAGGAGTCTAACTACATAAAGGCAACAATGGAGATGTCAGGACATCTACAGGTAACTTGGAATCCCAAAGACAAAAGGCAACAATGACAAGGCCAAAGGGAAATCAGTCAGTATCAAACACCTGCAGAGAGTAAAGGCCTCTACATACTCCCTCTGAACTGCTGAAATCGGCTCTCATTGTCGCAGCTGAATGGAAAAAATTGCATCATCCGGTTCAGAGTGTCGACAGGACCTCCCCTTCTCGACACAAGGCCTTGGCCGAACTGTTTCTCACTGTGCTACGTGTGAAGCGTTGTATGGTTGGTCTGAAGTTTGTTGGCGTGTTTGTTTATGTTAACAGCCCTAAGATGTTGCATTTCGTTTTAACTACTCGCTTCCAGAATGTGACTTTTGTAACCAGAAACAGACATTTATAAAGATCGTCAAATGTTTATATAAATAAATAAATAAATAAATAAATAAATAAATAAACGGAGATATAAAAGAATCATTTGCACGGAGGAATCAAACTGCAGAAAAGTGTGGAGCATTAACCGGGACAGATTTATGCCAAATTATGGTGGATCTGTTTTTTTTTTTTCCAGTGTGTAGACTCCAGAGGGAAGGAACCCCATGCAGTGATGTGAACCGTAGCGAGAGAGAGGTTTCCCAGGAGCTTGGCGTCGTATGTCTCAGGAACTATGAAAGGTGCGAAATTGAACACCGAACAACCACATGACCAAGTGTCGACTGTTCGGCTTCAGATGGAGTATGTCGAGGCCTTCAGGCAGGTCCTAAAGAGCCAGCTGAGTGGTAAAAACAATCTTGAAGCCATCAATATGTAACAGTAACATGTATGCAGTTCCAGTCATCAAGATACCCACTCTGTGTTTCCCTTACCATTATCCAAGGAGGGCACTCTGCCACCAATGGAACCGCCCACCCCCACATTAATGACATGGTATGTAATTCATTAATAAATGTTGTATTTGCATGTGATCGATTTACTGCAGCCAGAGAATATGCCAAAGCTGATACACCATAACCTGCACCACACCCTGACCTGTCCTGGGACTTTTGTATTTAAAATGTAACATTTTATTAAAAGCTGAAGGGTCTGTAGCATCACTGCATAGACACATCTAACTTGAACATGACCAAGCTCTTGCTAACAGAGAGAGCACGACACCGAGGAATTAGTCCGCCATGGGAGTGCACACAAACTTGATTAGGTGTCTCTCTCGGTGTGACTCACTATTTCTGTTGATTTAGCTCTTGGGATTAAACAACAAAGGTGCTGGCTAACCAATTGAACACCAGCCGACGAGCTACAAAAGAAGGCAGCAGTGGTAGATGTGGCAACCCCAAGAAACTACAACATCAAGGAGGAGCATGAGAAGCTCAAGGAATACCAAGGGTTGTAAAATAAAATGAAGTTGTGGAGAGTTAAGGCCCGTGACTTAGGGCTACTGTAACACTTCTATTTTCTAATCCAGAGTGGTGCACTCAGTCTTGTGGGACGTTTATTATGCTTACTACTTCCTACTCATATCTTAGACAGACAGAAATCACTAAAAACGTATTTAATGTCTTAAAAATGCGACTTAAATTGCTATTTGTTCTTCAGAACTGTAAGCATGATGATCTTCAAGACCTGTGTTGTTTTATCACTTTGTGTGCCCTTACCTGATTATTTGGTTTGTGCTGGGAGGTAGACCCTGGGATGTTGAGCGAGTGGCTCCTAGTGACAGCTGCTCCGGTTGATGCTCTCCTCTGTTGAGAAGGACCTGTCTGTGAAACGTTCCCTTCTAGAGGTGGAGTGCTGCTCTTACAACCATTGTTCCCTTCAGTTTCAAGCACTGCATCCCAAGGATCCCCAGCAGAACCCTCCGTTACAGTCTGTGCGGCGCCGTCCGTCGTCAAACACGCTTCCTCGTTCTCTGCTTTGCGCTTTGAAAGAGGGTCCAGGTCCAGCCAGTCGAAACGGCTGATGTGAGAGGATTCCACCGCTGCCGGCTGTCGGGGTGGAGGGTGGGGTGCCAGAGAGGCTGTGCTTGCTTGGGATAAATCTGGATCGGTGCTGGCTGATCGGCCGTTCTTCAAGTATTCTGAAGTGCTGGCAATCTTGTCAAACAGCTTGGCCATCTCTGGGTCCACAGTCGGTTGCGGGAATACCAAAGCCGAAGCAGGCTGGATGGGAGGCAACGTCATGAAGGGTGGCTGCTGCGTAGGCAGGGTCATGAAGGGTGGTATAGGTGGAGTGAAACCATTTTGAAATGTGCCGGGTTTGGGAAATGGAGCCGAGGGGAACAACGGGCCGGGCTGATGGGATGGAGCGGACACCTTGGAAGTAGAGGGAGCGGAGAGAACCGAAGTCCACTGGCTGCTCTGAAAAGGGGCGGAGCTGCAGACATGGCCTCCTGGGTAAGAGGCACTGAGGTTAAACCCCAGCAGCGGTGAAGGCCGGGACTCTTTGCTGTTAATGCCAAAGTTTTCATCGAGCAGAAGCTTTTCAAGCTCCTCATTGGTCAGCTTGTCCACATCAATGTCCCTGAACTTGTCCTGCTCTGCTTGTTTCTTGGTCTCCGGAAAGACAATAAGGTCCTTGTCGGGTTTGTTGACGGAGGACGAAGGTTGGGGAACAGTGGCAGATTTAGACAGTTTTGGTTTAGAAGAAGATGAGGATGTTGAAACTGGTAGAGTGTGTCTCTTCTCCCTTTGTAATTTAGCTAAAGCCTCCTCTTCCATGCGGAGGGCTTCCTCCTTACCCACAACCCCTTTTGGCTGGGGGACATCCAGCTTGAACCCATTACCACTGTGTGTCTGGGCCATTCTGTCAAGTGGAAGCAGCCATGAGTCAGATGACTTCTAGGTCTGAGTTGCCCAAATGATTGAGGAGTTGACTTAAACACCTAAAAAAAAAGAGAGAGAGAGAGGAGAAAAAAAACATTTAAATAGAAGACTAAACAATAGTTAAGAATTAAAATATTTTTAGAGTAATTTCCAAGAGTATATTTGAAGCTTCTGCTTGAATTTTTTTTTACAATCAACTTTCTTCTATGTTTTATAGTTTTTTTATGTCAGTGATACGATATGTTAAAAATACTCTATAGTTTTAAATATAAAATTCTAGGGATGCATGATATATCGGCATTAACATCATTATCGGCTGATAGTCATTTTTTAGGATATCGATATCAGTTCGATAAGTAAAACTGAGCCGATATTAAAAATCCATATTGATTTCCCACTTTTATCAGTTATCGGCCATAACAGCCTTAATTATATCGGCTATCAATATCGGCTGAAATTTTCATATGGTTGCATCCCTAGAAAATTCTGAGCTAAGATAGAATGAGTGTTAATGGGAGTTCGGATGTGCACACTCTGTACTCTAGGGACACACTGGTTGAAAATGAATCCAAAACTGTCTATGTTGTGATGTATTAAGCTGTAGAGGAAGTGTAAGGT